TTTTACCAAAATGATCAGCGAGAAAAGCTCTACAAAAATAGATATAAGAGAAAATTTTCAGAATATCCTTGCTATTCGTTTATGTGTAAAAATAAAAAAGTCCAGGCTTTTTTCGGCCCTCAATGTATGAATCTGATGTCGCCAGAAATGAAAATAATATCAAACTTCCTTGATGAAAATCACGAGCGAGTATACTGTGAGAATAATCATCAAAATCTATGAAATATATACATAATGTTGTTCTTCACAAATGAGATGGAAGAAATAACAGAGCAAGATGGCTTTATGTTTTTTTCCATCATTTCTATAGTACGACAAAATATTCTAATTCTTCGTCATTCTATATACGAGAAAACAATCTATTAATAAGAAACAAAAAGAAGCACGAAGACAACAATTTATTTATGACAAATCGTTGACAATGTCATATCTGTTGTAGAAACTCATTTGATAAACAGTAGAACAAATAGAATCACCAGTTCTGGTGACACTGCGTCTTCTCTAGATTGTTTTTTCCAAGATAGAATGACGACGAATTATAGCATATTTTGTTGTATTATAGAAATGATGGAAAAAACCCATAAGGCTATCTTGCTCTGTTATTTCTTCCATCTCATTTGTGGAGAACAACATTATGTATAAATGTCATAGATTTTGATGATCTGTCTCACAATGTACTCGCTCGTTATTTATCATGTATGAGAACTAAAAGTGAGTGATTAGACTCTCATTACTTTTGATAAAGAAGGGTCTTGACATGGTTAATACAATTTCAAAGAAATCTAATATTGGTGCTATGAATAAATACTCATTGTTTTTTTTTTCGCATCGATGTAGTAGTAGTAGTAGTAATTTTATTTAGTCCTTGATCTTAAAACTGACTTGGTGATGATGAAAGTTTAAAAGAAACTTTGTCTAGATCATACCGAACAAAGAGACGATCATCAAGAGAGTTGTTCAGAAGATTTAGCGACAGAGCGAATAATGTATATTTGGTAGTACAAGCTAAAATCTAAAAAAATTTTAAATTTCCCTAGCTTTTAGTTTCTACTCTCACATGTATATGAAATTGTACATTCACATACGAATATATGGTTTTTCAGCACTACACCAATATACCGTATTCAAAAATGATTTCTAGTTCGATCAGCGGCGTCTATCCCCACCTGAATATTTGAGGCATTTTGTACCACCTTGCAGGCTCGATCTTTCAGTGTACCACCTAAAAAATTAATTTCTACAGCAAAAAAGCGTACCATCTTACTTTTGTTTGAGGCATTAAGCCTCAAACGTCCCACAGGATAGACGCCCCTGAGTTCGATATCGTTTTCCTAAAGCGCTTTAATAAATCCTTTCTCACGGGCAAACATTACTTATATTTCTGTTATTCTAGCACACGATGATCACAAAAATTTGCTTAACCATACCGATATTAATAGGTCTTATCTTTCCCTCTGCGAGTAATCCCGTGGATAGTGAAGATGATGTGCTGGATTATCTGCAGCGATTCGGTTACAGTTCGTGCAATGCTTCATCGCCTGTTCAGTGTAGTGAAAATTTTACTTCGATGCTCACAGAATTTCAACGTTATTTCGGGTTGAATATGACCGGTGTTGCTGATAAGGAAACACAGGCCATTATGAATCTGCCGCGATGTTCAGCGGTGGATAAGCCAAATGTAAACATATTGCAGGGATCCAGCAATAGAAAATGGTCTCGTCTGTCTCTAACCTATCGTCTTGAATCGCACGCCCATTTCCAGCAAATAAGTTATGCGAATCAGATTAGCATCGTGCAGGATGCATTTAACGAATGGTCAAAACACACGCCTTTATCATTTGAAATGGTGTGTAACACATGTTCATCAGATATTGTACTGCAATTTGTGGAAGGCGATCATGGCGATGGTGTACCATTTGACGAGAAAACAATCGCGCACGCGTTTTTGCCGACTGACGGTAGAATCCATTTCGATTCCCAAGACACATGGACAGGATTGTACATAGAGTTAACACCTTATATGGTCGTTTTATTTGCTATTTCTTCCTTTCTGTTTAGGTATAATTCCTCATCAAAAACGGTGATCAATCTGTTTCTGATCGCTATGCATGAAATCGGTCATGCGTTAGGTCTTGAACATGTAAAAGATAGACAGTCGATCATGTTCCCGACTTATCAGCTGAAACAACGATCTGATGTACTAACATTCGTTGACCAACAATCGATACAAGCTCTTTATGGAAAAAAACCTGAAGCAGACAGTAAGCTTTTGTAGTCCTATCTGGGTAGTTACAGAAAAATCTCTTTGCGTAGTTAGGAGTGATATCCGACACGGGCAAGTGTTTGGAAATCCACTGGGAGGTGTACAATTTAATACAGCCACCGAATCTGTCGCTTTGATTAACAGTCATCGATTATACGAAATTAACGTGGAATGTCAGGAAGGTTTACTACGATCGATCCGGATGTACTACTCGGATCCGCCAA